GTATGTGGGCTGCCGCCACAGCATGGCGACTGACAAGTGGTCCACGCCCGGGAACCGAACCCAGGCCACCAAAGCGCAGCTCGCCAAACTTAACCACTAGGCCACCAGGGCTGGCCCTTTAACCTTTATGATTTTTAACAGATATTGAAGCTCATCTGAATATTTTGGGGTGATATTTTCTTCTAGGAACTTGATCAAAATGCCACTGAGAAAGTCCAGGCAATGTTCACAGCCATTGATGAGCTCTTATATGAGCAGGAGTTGAGTGTACATACTAAGGGTCTACAAGAAGAGTGCCAACAGTGGACAAGTAGTTTTCCTCACCTCAGGTATTGAAGCCCTAGAGTTAACTTGTTTTCATAGCTAATACTAAAATTTGAAAAGCAGATTTCCAAAAAGCCTTGTGTTCTGACATCTTGATGGGCATGGTTTTGATGACTGTAAATAAGGCCATGTGCTGTAAAGCCTCAGTTGAGAGAAAACTCAAGTTGGTGGAAGTTTCTCGGAGTTTTTATAACTACCAATATGTCGTCCTAATTGAGTAAAACAATTTCTATATCAGTAGCTAAGATCTGTCTGTTGCAGCTGTCCAAGAAGCCCTTCTATTGAAGAAGTTCAGAGAATGTATTTGTTTACACTGTTGTCTACAAGTAAATTCTTATGTATATTTGAAAGCAGATATAAGCTGTTAGGAGGCTTCCCTTAGAAACCGCATTAGTGCACTTTATATACTTAAAATTTATAAAGCTTCATGTTCTTAAGAATATAATTCATAGTTTTCACTAATTTGGCCTGGCTTTCACCCATTGGCAGATTTAATGAAGATTATTATAGAGGATGGAGGGCAAATTACAAATGTTTGCTCAGTTTCCTCGGGGGTGTAGGGCTGAGGGAGGGCTATAGCTTTGTTTATCTTTTCCATCTCCATTCTATGAAAAAGACATAGAGCTGTAATAAGGCTTTGGATTCATATTTTTCACTCAAGAATCATTCTTAATCAGTAACAGACTTCCTGTGTACTGGACTTCTATGTAGAGCCATCAAATTTGCTTCAAAAATACCTGCATTTTGGATGTATGCCAGGTGAAGGTGCTTAATTGTCTCTTTATGGTCTTCATTTTGAAGGATTCTGGGTAGGCAAATAATCACTCCAAGTGAAGGTTATGGACTGTATCCTAGATCCCCTTCTGCTGTTTCAGCTTCACATGAGGCAACACTGTCTCAAGGAAGAGATTCTACTATGTAAGTATTTATGTATCCTAATGTGCAAGTATTATATTCTACCCGGTTATACTAAGGGATTAAAATACTTCTTCATACTTATTGGTATTTAATAAAGCACAGAAAATTTTCTAAGATTAACCATAGTCTGTGCATATTAGAATTTTGTTATATAATTTTTTGTTCAAAAGGTAAGACATTCCCTAGGGTTTAAGGATATATTTGTTATTCATATCTGTTTATAAATGTATATATATCTATAAATGCAAGCACTTCCCTCTCAGAATAAATATGTGGATAGACTGGTTTAAAGAAATTTAGGGGTCTAAGAAACAGACTAAAAATTTTTTGAAAAAAAATTTGGAAAAAGTGATTTTTCTTAAACATGTAATATTAATTGCAACTTAATCTTTTTATAGAAATTAAATTGCTGTTAGTTTATTAGCTTAAAATGGGTAATTAGTATATTAGTTAAAATGGCTAATTCTTTTGAACACCTCAAACTCTTTAAACAGCAGCAAAATAAACCCAAATAGGATTATTTCAAAACCTATGCTTACTCTTAAATATATTGTAAAATATGATATTTTTAATTCATTTTTTTATCATTCCTATACTTTTTTCTAAGACTGTAGTTTTACTTATTTGATACCTTCTAAGAGTTGTAGTAATACTTACTTTTTTTTTTTCTTGCTGAGGAAGATTAGCCCTAACATCTCTGCCAGTCTTCCTCTATTTTGTATATGGGTCGCTGCCACAGCATGGCTGATGAGTGGTATAGGTCCACGCCCAGGATCCAAACCCACTAATCCAGGCCACCAAATTGGAGCATGCCAAACTTAACCACTACGCCATGGGGCTGGCCTCTAGTAATACTTACTTTTGATGCCTTTTTGGGCTTGTAATAATTTCATCAGACCACAAACTAAAACATTACTGTCTTAGGCCAGTTAGGGTTATGGGATCTGGATTATCAGCTGATTTTTGGTCAGAGAATGTGATTTGTTCGCTTTTCTCAAAGTAATTTAAACTCAAGCTTCTGGTCACCAGGCTGAGCTTTTTAAATTTAAACCTCATGTATTACATCAATAAACCTTTTTTTTTTTTTTGTGAGGAAGATCAGCCCTGAGCTAACATCCACGCTAATCCTCCTCTTTTTGCTGAGGAAGACCGGCTCTGAGCTAACATCTATTGCCAGTCCTCCTCCTTTTTTTCCCCAAAGCCCCAGTAGATAGTTGTATGTCATCGTTGCACATCCTTCTAGTTGCTGTACGTGGGACGTGGCCTCAGCATGGCCAGAGAAACGGTGCGTCAGTGCGCGCCTGGGATCCGAACACAGGCCACCGGTAGTGGAGTGCGCGCGCTTAACCGCTAAGCCATGGGGCCGGCCCTCAATAAACCTTTTTAAGTTTACTCCTTTTATATAAATTCAGATTTTTTTTTTACAAACTAATGTCTCCCACATAAATGATGTATTCTTTAATTCTCACTGATCAAATTACATAACTTATGTCCTGTCATTAAGATATATTTACCTGATCTGTTAGTATAAACTTTATACATGCCTTATTATTTTATAACTATAAGTAGTAGTTCCATTTAGAGATTTCATCTCCCAGGAAATAAGGAATCAAGTCTGAGCAGTTATCTTGTCATTGTTTAGGACATCTGGCTAAATCATCATTCTGCAAGATAGTGCAGGCCTCCTTTCTTTCCTTTCTACTTGCTACCACCACTGCTGATTGGCCCGTCTTATTTTTGATTATGCTTTTCTGTACTATTTGAATTACAGTTTTCAATATTACTTCTCTTTACTATACAGGTAAAACAAATACCTATCTCTATGTTATACGCAGGCGTATATTTAGATGAAATAAATTATCCACCTATATTAGCATACCACTACTTATGAAAAGCAAAAGCAAATTAAACATAATCCACGACATTTACTTTCATCTAACTACTACTTTGTCCATACTTGATATTTTCCCTCTTGAGTACCATTATCAACTCATAGCATTTCAAAATATTTATATATTTTAATTAACCATAATTATTATTGATGCTCAAATTGTTACAACCTGACCATGTCAAGCTAGTTCCTTTGTTTTTGTCTTGACTGTATCCTTGTTTTCTGGTTACAATAGGACGTTCCAGACCCATCCTTAATTTTTTCTTCCTTTAAGACATGGAAATCAGCTGAAATTTAAGAAGACCTAATTCCTCTGAGGGGCTAATAGTATTTGAGAACAAAATTTGGGTAGCGAGCATATGTAAGTTGGTGGTGCTGCTGCTATTTTGCCACTTTTTATACTAAGAGGTGTGGAAAAATGTCTCATGAATTCATTTTGATCTTTTTCAATTTAACAAATTAGGTTGCCATAAAATATGAGGTTTATCAACTACTGAGACTTCCTACAAAAATAACATTTCAAATTATATCCATTCTTGCTTCCTCTCCACATTACATCAGATTTTCCTTTTAAAATTCAGGGTTGATCCTTTCTGTCTCCCACTTAAAAATCTTCCATAGCTTCCACTGAATTTAAGATAAAAATCTAAAATTATATCGTGAGCTGGCCCCAGGCTACATTGCTATCTTTATCTTCTGTCATTCTCTCTCTCATTCACTAATCCTCCCACACTGGCTTTCTTTCGGATCTCAAATGTATTAAACAAGATATTTGGCCCAGTTTCCATTCTTGAGTTCTTAAGCCAGAGGAAAGTGGTACAATAAACAACACCAAAATACAATATCTTCCTCTTTGTATCTCTAACCCCTAGCACAGTGCCCAGAACATAGTTAGCATTCTACTTTTTTTTTTTTACTAAATTAAAACAGATCATATTTATATGATAACAAACTACATGAAAATGAATTAATGTATAAATTGATATTATGATATAAATTGAATTAATGTATAAATTGATATCATAACAAAGCAAAACAATGTTATCAATCAAAACAAATATTACTGTCTAGGTCAAAATGGAATTCTAGGAACTTAAAATAATAGAAGACGGTGGCAGCATAAGGAGAAAACATAGGCCAAAAAAGGACCTTGAAAAGATGAATTTGAAGATATTTCCACTTGAAAAAACTATGCATTCTACTGCTTCAAGTTAGCTTAAGGGGCTTATCTACCCTTAGTTCAAATCATACATCAACAAAAATTAACTAACTATAATATGTAATAAGTTGCTAAAGTGTATGACTATATGCCGAATTATAAAAAATCATTAAAAGAATAGAGAGCCCAGAAATAACCTTTGTTTATATGGCTAAATGATTTTCAACGAGGGTGCCAAGACTACACAATGGGGAAAGGACAGTCTCTTCAACAAATAGTGTTGGGAAAACTAGATATCCTCATGCAAAAGAATGAAGTTGTACCCTTATCTTACACCATATACAGAAATGAACTCAAAATGGGTGAAAGACCTTAACATAAGACCTAAAACTATACAATTCCTAGAATAAAACGGAGGAAAAGCTTCATGACATTGGATTTGGTAATGATTTATTGGCTATGACACCAAAAGCATAGGCAACAAAAGCAGAAATAGACAAGTGGGACTACACTAAACTGAAAAATTTCTGTGCATCAAAAGAAGCAATCAGCAGAGTGAAAAGGCAGCCTGTGGAATGGGGGAGAATATTTGCAAATCACATATCTGATAAGGGGTTGATATCCAGAACGTACAAGGAACTTCTACAACTCAACAACAAAAAAACCAAATAACCTAATTAAAAAATGGACAAAGAACTGGAATAGACAGTTCTCCAAAAAAGATATATAAATGGCCAACAAGCATATGAAAAGATGCTCAATGTCACTAATCGTAAGAGAAATGCAAATCAAAACCACAATGAGATATCACCTCACACCCATCAGGATGGCTGCTATCAAAAGAACAAAAAATAACGTGTTGGCAAAGATGCAGAGAAATTGGAACACTTGTGCACTGTTGGTAGGAATGTAAAATGGTGCAGCCATTGTAAAAAAACAGTATGGAATGTCCTTAAAAAATTAAAAATAGAATTACCATATGATCCAGCAATCCCACTCCTGGGTACATATCCAAAAAATTGGGGCTGGCCCCATGGCATAGTGCTTAAAGTTCAGCATGCTCCGCTTTGGTGGCCCAGGTTCCCAGGTTCAGATCCCGGGCGCAGACCTACACTACTTGTCAGCCATGCTGTGGCAGCGACCCACATACAAAATAGAGGAAGATTGGCACAGATGTTAGCTCAGGGCTAATCTTCCTCAAGCAAAAACAAAAGAGGCAGACTGGCAACAAATCTTAGCTCAGGGCGATCTTCCTCATCAAAAAAAAAAAAAAAAAATTGAAACCAGGATCTCAAAGAGATATTTGCATACCCAAGTTCATTGCAGCGTTATTCACAGTAGCCAAGAGGTGGAAGCAACCCAAATGTCCATCAACAGAGGAATGGGTAAAGAAAATGTAGTATATACATACAATGGAATCTTATAAAGCCTTAAAAAAGAAGAAAATCCTGTCACATGCTACAAAATGGATGAATCTCAAAGACGTCCTAAATGCGATAAGCCAGTCACAAAAGGACAAATAAAATATGATTCCACTCCTATTAAGTATCTAAAGTAGTAAAATCATAGAAACAGAAAGTGGAAAAGTGGTTGCCAAGGGAGGGGCAATTAGTGTTTAATGGGTATTAGAGTTTCAGTTTTGCAAGAAGAAAGAGTTCTAGAGATCTCTTGCACAATAATTTAAATATACTTAACACTACTGAACTGTACAGTTTAAAATGGTTAAGATGGTAAATTTAATGTTATATTTTTTACCACAATTTAAAAAAATCATTAAAGTGATATGGTATGGCTGCTGTTTGTCCTAAGCCCACCACCCTCATGTCACTCATTACAAATTATAGCTTTTGCTTTCATTTTCTTTGATTTTTTAAAAATAACTGTCCTAAATGCAAGAGCCAGTCAAGCTAATCACAAATCAGATTTTTTTTAGACATAAAGATCTTTCAGAAGCCCTCCAAAGCTGTGGAGATTCTCTCTTTCAGTTCTTCTACTGGTAGGGCCATCCACAATTATATTTCCTTTCCAGTGTACTAAGTTATGTTTTCTTCCTTTTGGCATCATGAGATCACACCTTCATTTAATTTCTAGAGCTCATTTCTAGATGTCCACTGGAAGATAAGGTTGCTCTGAAATGGAGTTGAGAGTGGTTAATTGTACTTTTCAGATCCTAGTCAGGAAGGAGAGCTCTTGGCCACTTGTTCCTCCCAGCACCCATGAGGGCCTTGCAGTGATCACCTCTGTGAAGGCTGCAGAATTCCACCTTCTAAGGTCTGCACCTGGATGGGCTGGCTCCAAATTAAATTCTTTTGTTAATAAGAAACCTAGCAAAGTCATTTTATCCTCCATGCATGTGGGAGAAGAATAAAGTGCCAACGCTTTTTTTCCTCTCACAAGAAAACAGATCTCAACTTAAATATTACTACCAGCACAATACATTATTAGGTAAGACTACTGCTATTCTTTTACTAAGTAAAAGAATTACAAACATTTTAGAGGATAAAGTTTATTTTCCAGTCATGGTAATCTCTGAAGTCTGATGATTTAAAAGATTCCTTTGTTAAAAATAACATTTGCAAAGACAGTTTTATGATGTGTAGAATACTACCTGTTTTTTGCAGCAGCTTTAGGGAAAATGGGAGCATTTTTCCTTCTCATCTAACTGAAATTTTTTTAACTAACAGAAAGGCCTACACTTTGTTAGGAAGGCCTATTTTTTTTTCTCAAAGCAGATAATTCCATTAGTTACCACCGACTAAAAAAATGATTGGTTAATAATACAAATGGCATAGTATAATAGCACAATAACATATAGAATGTTGGGAATGAAGTGTTTGACATGAGTTTGACAGCTTTAAATTTTGTCATGTTATGATAAAAAAAACTAACTCCACTATTTTATAAAAGAAAAGACATATTAACACAGAAAGCATGAAATACATAATCTCAAAATAAGGACATTCCTTTTCAAAAAAGGTATTTGGCAGTCTCACTGAGCACTGTCCTTGTTTTGCTCATTTTGATGTAGATAAAAAAAAATTTTGTCATGGATTGGGGTAAATCCTGTTGACTGGAATTTGGGAATCACTGTTTTAGAATTTCAGAAGAGAGACTTAAAAAACCTTAAGTCTCAAATTTAGAGACTTTTATAAACAGTGATTCTAGCTGGTTTAGATGTGATGGTTCTCCAAACTGTTTCTGTCATCTCTTACCGTCTCTCTATCCCCATGCCTTCTGCCGTGGTCCAGGCTCTCATCAGCTTAGCAGTTCTTGCTTCATCTTTTGCTCTAGCCTCCTAACACATTATCCTCTTCATCACTACCAGAGTGATCTTCTAAAGCAAGGATCTTGCCATCTCCCTTCTTAAAAACTTTTATTACTTTCCATTGCTATCAATTAACCCAAGTTAATACACAAAACACTTCACAATTTGGCCTCATCATACTTTTCCAACCACTTCCTATGAACCATATACTTTATTTTTACATAACATAGAAGTTTTTTCTCTTTTAAAAGAAGTCTGGAGGAAGGATATCTCAAGATAGTATAGTGGTGGCATGGTGTTTTCGGGGTCCTAGACCCTTTCTTTCTGCTACACCATGTTAGCCCAGGATGTTTTTCCTGAAGTTTTCTTCATGGTCCAAGATAGCTGATAGAGTTCCAAACATGACATTCACTTTCCAGGTAGCAGAAAGGAGGAGAGGCAGAAGGGCAAAAGTGCACCCCTTATAGCCATGGCTCTTTAAACAGTCTTACCAGAGTCCCACATAACAATTCTGCTCATATCTCATTGGCTACATCTGGCTACAAGGAAGTGGGAAATGTAGTCTTTGAGGTGAGTATATTGCTTTCCTGAATGAAATTGGCATGATTTACTAGGAAGGAAGGGGAGAATGGATACTGGGGGGCATCTAGCATTCTCTGCCACATATGTGTATAATTTTATGAAATTACTGTACATAGTTTGTAATCTTTTTATACTTACTATTTTATTGTAGGCATCTTCCATTTTCTCCCACGACATTAATTTAATGACCTCATAGTATTCTATTGCATGAATATACCATTATTTAAACAACCAATCCCTGATCCTGTATTTTGAAACAGGCTAGTTTTAATTTTGGGCAATTATAAGCAATTCTGTGATGATAATTTTTATGGCTAAATCTTGTAGGTCATATCCTTGAAGGAAATTCCTACAAATGAAACCATTGAATTAACGGGTATGTTTATTTTAAGGCTTCTAATACATATTTCCAAAATGTCTTCCAGTAAGATTTTCCCACTAGCCTTGCTGGAAAGTGCCATAAGTTTATTCTTTTTTCCGCACTAAAAAGAAATATTTAAGGTACAAAAAAAAATAAAGAATAACACAAAGCATACATTGGTTATATTTAATATTTGGTTAAACTGAGAGCCATTTTTAAGAATTGTATTGCTCAGATTTGACTGACTTTCTCCAAAGTAAACCTGCTGAAATGAATGGGTCATCACATATTCATTGAATACCTGGGTAGGAAGAGAAATCTAGACATAAATAAGAGAAGATCCTTGCCCTTAAGGAGTGTTAAATAATGATGGAGTTACTGAAATAAGCATATAACCTCCTGAGGTACCTTAAAGATATAATTATGAATATTCTTAGATTTTTTTTAAGAACTTATTTTATAGCCAAGCTGTTGCATCTAAAAAGATAGCAAGCAGTATTTGATACTGCATAATACACTAAGCAGAGTAGGTCTAGGGCTAGTATTTATTCTTCCTATTCTGAGAAATAATAGGTATTAAGGCTAAGAGTAGTCCGGAAAGGTGTCACCAGGGCAAGGGACTTTGAGTAGAAACTCGTGTGACTGAGTTGCTGTGAGAACTGTTTATGTTGTACATAATTAATACTTGCTTTTTTTTTCCTCTCCCAGATTTGGTATTAAGGGAAAGAAGTTACATTTTTCATCTTCTTATGCTCATAAAGCATCTTCCATTGCCAAATCCCCTGGCTTGTGTTCTATGGAAAGAGGAGAGGAAGACTATGTAATCTTCTCTGAAGGAATAATAGAGGAATACCTAGCATTCGACCACACAGATATGTGAGTATTATGTCTTTTAAGCTTTTTACTCCTCTCCTATTTTCTGCATTAATATCTATTTTTTCCTAAAGTATACTACCAATATTACTTATAATTATATTTATGTCAGTTTCTGTTATTCATTTTCTCTTAGTTCTCAGGTATCCAGAGTTCATGTGCTTAGTTGATATAAATTCCTGTTGCTTCCACATACCAGACTTCCTTGTGTATTTTCTTCCTGTACATGTCATTTGCCTCTTCCTGAGATTAAACATTTTAAAATGAGTTAATTTTTTTCTCCACATATTTTGATTTTACCCTTTGTAAATTACCACCAGTAACTCATGGAAACTCTGAAACCTTTTAAAAGAGCAGTTAAAGAGGTGTGAACTTCATTTACAAAAATCCTGTTTGAAAAAGGTATATACATTTTATATAAAACCTTACACTTGGCACAGACTTTATAATTAATAATGCTTATTTATATCTATTCTTATTGTATTCTGACAGTAGTCCTGTGACATAGATATTATTTATCCTCTTTACAGGATAGGTGAGAATCAGAGTGGTTAAATAATTTGTGTGAGATAAAGCTAAAACTAAAACGTTATTCATCTGATTCTAAATCCAGTGCTTTCTTCACTATGCCATGCTACCTTTCTGAAACATTAACCTCTTAAACTATTCCTCTAAGCCTTTGAAAGTTCCAGAATTGATAGTCACAGCAGCACATCTGGAAGTGAGTGAGAATTTCATTTTAGGCTACGAGGCTGTGGTTAGGTCTAGTTAATATTGTGTCACATGATTCGGGACTTCTCTTCTTCCCATCATATTTCCTACTGAGCTGTGCTTACTCACATGCTCAATGTACACTCCTAGGGTCAGCTAAACATAACCCAGATTTCTATCCATAATACCACTGAGCTAGCTCATTGTTGCAAGAGAATCATAAGGTTCTTTTGGTTATCCACAGACTGCCCCCTTCCCTTTCACTTCCTCTGGCCTGGGTCAAATTATCTCTATTTTCTCTTCCTTTTCCTCAAATTAAAGGTCTCCTGGTGGCCTGGTGGGCTCTGCTTCAGCGGCCTGGGGTTGGCAGGTTTGGATCTCGGGCTCGGACCAACGCACCTCTTGTCAAGCCATGCTGTGGCAGCGTCCCATATAAAGTAGAGGAAGACGGGCACAGATGTTAGTCCAAGGCCAATCTTCCTCAGCAAAAAGAGGAGGATTGGCATCGGATGTTAGCTCAGGGCTAATCTTCCTCACACACACACACAAAATAATAAAAAATTAAAAAATAAAGCTGATTTAACTTAAAATTTGATGTAAATGGCTCATAGGTGTCCCTAGCGCATCTCTTTCCCTTTTGCTGACAGTAAACCGAAATGAATTTTCAGGTAATACAGGGAAGATTTTTAGAAAGGCAGTCTTCCCTTTAGAGAAGGGAAGATATTGATTGAAAAATGACAGAGTAATTGGACATTTAGAATATTCCTAATTGAAAAGATTGAGGGCCCAGAAATAAACCAAAGCACCTATAGGAAATTAGTATATACAATAATTTCAGCAAATGATTTTGGTGCAACATAGAAAAACAAACTATCTGGAAAAAAATAAAGTTCTTAACTTATTCTTTACATAAAATAAATTTCACACATATAAAAAATTTAAATGTAACAAGTGAAATCATATAGGTTTAGAAGAAAATAAAACATGGAAGATTGTTTTTTAAAAAACTAATTTGGGAATAGGGAAGTCCTTTCTAATCACGGCACGAAATTTACAAGTCTTTTAAGAAATTCTTAAAAATAACTATATAAAATGAAATTTCTGCACAGAAAAAAATCATAAAGTCAAAAGACAGATGACAAACTGGCATAAATACTTGCAGATCATACATACACAGAGATTTTATTTCCTTAATATGTACATCAATAAGGAAAAGACTAAGGACAAAACAGGCAAAAAACATGAATAGTTTACATAAAAAGAAAATGGAGGGGCCAGCCACGTGGTTTAGCGGTTAAGTGCGCGCACTCCGCTACTGGCGGCCCGGGTTTGGATCCCAGGCGCGCACCGAGGCACCGCTTCTCTGGCCATGCTGAGGCCTCGTCCCACATACAGCAACTAGAAGGATGTGCAACGATGACACACAACTATCTACTGGGGCTTTGGGGAAAAAAAAAAAAGGAGAAGGATTGGCAATAGATGTTAGCTCAGAGCCAGTCTTCCTCAGCAAAAAGAGGAGGATTAGCATGAATGTTAGCTCAGGGCTGATCTTCCTCACAAAAAAAAAAAAAAGAAAGAAAATGGATTTTAAATATATGAAATGAAATTCAATCTCATTCACAATTAGATATGCAAATTAAAACTATAATGATATACTGTTTTATCTGTCAGGCTCGCAGAGAACAAAAGATAAAGAAGTTTGATAATTTTTTGAATGGGAAAATAGGCATATTCTTTCACCACTGGAGAATTATACCACTTCCTTAGAGGAAGTGAGCAATATCTTTCAAACTGATATGCATACACCCTTTGATTCAATAATTCTATTTATGGGAATTTATCCTACAGATATAATATCCATGTAGCCAAAGAACTATGTACAAAGATATTAATTGCAGTATTGACTATAAGAGCAAAGGGTTGGTTGATCAATAACTGGTTAGTTAGACATATTATGGGATATCCAAGAATACTCTGCAGCTATTTTTTAAAAGAGGCAGATTTATATGTATTGATAGGGATCAAGGGCCAAGATACATTGTTAAATGAAAGAGCAAGGTACAGTACAGTGTATAATGTACCTATTCCTCTGGACCTATGTATAATGTTTGCTTCTGGGAATGGAGACTGGGGGACAGAGATGTGGGGGACTTATTTTTCATTACATACATACATTTCCTTCTGTACAATTTGAATTTTTCTTGTCTTATGAATGTGTTACCTCCCCTAAAATGAAATATAAATTGAAATACAATTAATACTAATCAGCATCCTACCCTACTTAATGCCAGGCCAGCTCTTCCTTAGGAAAGGAGAAGCAAAGAGAGTCTTTGGCTGCCCTGCATAAACCTCTTAGCATCCTTCTTTCCTGCCTGTTTTCTATTTAATTCTTGAGACCTCTGCTGCCCTGGGGGTAACTTTCACTGTAGAGGCTGGAAGATATTTTTCTCTACTCCTAGCCAGTTCCAGAATTTGCTTTGTCTTAGTTTATAATACATCAGTCACAGGTAAGCACATCTATCAGCTAGATTTTTTTCCCTCAGAATTCTGGGGCTATTGTTGGCACTCCCTTCCGGAGAAGAGATAGCCCTGGCTAACTGGGAGTTTCTGGTTTAGAGATACACGGTTTCCAGAAGAGGCTCAGAGTAGCTTCCTGTGCTGTTGGGCTCCCCTCCTTTTCCTTTCCAGCGGATTACCAAATATTTACTTGGATTAGTAAAAGTATACTAGTTTTAATAATCTATGGGGACTGTTTCTCTAACGAATCATTGCCTCAAATAATTATGTGGCATAATCACAGTTACATGTAGCACATCATTAAATGTGTCACGTTAATATTAATCTAAATGTTATCCAATTACAACAAAAAGATTATTTCTTTTCTTTTTTTTTTTTTTGTGAGGAGATCAGCCCTGTGCTAACATCTGCCAATCCTCCTCTTTTTTTGCTGAGGAAGACTGTCCCTGGGCTAACATCCGTGCCCATCTTCCTCCACTTTATATGGGATGCTGCCACAGCATGGCTTGCCAAGCGGTGTGTCGGTGCGCACCTGGGATCCGAACCAGCGAACCCCGGGCCGCCGCAGCAGGGCACACACACTTAACCGCTTGCGCCACTGGGCCGGCCCCAAAAAGATTATTTCTGTATACTTAATTATCATGATTTGTTGTTCAATTGACAATACTCGTCTGTTTAAAGCTAAAAAAAAGTACAATGATTCTCAGTCTTCTTTTTTTGGTTCTATTTTTTGGCAGAGTAGTGGGGTGGGAAGGGGGTAAAAAGCGAAATGCAGAGTCTTCTCTGTTGAGAACTCCCTTAGTTCACAAGGCAGCTTAATACTTCCTACATATGCCTGGCAAGGGGTCGGGAGTGGGGCACAAATCACATTCCTAAGAAGTACAAAGGCCAGTGGTGAACACTCCATGAAGAATAACCATGAAGTCTTTCCCTGTTGCTTCTATTACAGGGAAGAGGGGTTTCATGGAAAGAAATCAGAAGCAGCTACAGAGAAACAGAAATTAGGGTACCCTCCCATTGCTCCATTTTACTGCATGAAAGAAGATGTCCTTGCTTATGTGTTTGACGACGTGTGGAGCAAGGTTCTGAGCTGTATGGAGCAGTTGACACGTAGTCACTGGGAGGGATTTGCTTCTGGTAAGAATCTTTGTGAAAACAATATGAAAAAATAATTGTTTATGACTTCAACCCTAACCAGTGTATTAGATCATATGCTTCATTAGTACAAAAGATTCATATTTGTATTTCCCACAGAAACTAAAAGATATTTAGAAAATATTTGAGAACGAGTGATGAGTAATAAGGCCTACTCTATGATGAATAGACAGAGATTGTGCTTTCTCTTTGAATGTAATTATTTGTGAGAAAAAACGTGCAGGTGGCAAATACGTTTTTTAAATTGCTTTATTAAAGAATAATTAATATGCATACTTAACAGGTACAATTTGATAAGTTGACCTATGCATACATTCATGAAACCATGAAACAGTCAATATAGTGAACATTCTGTCATCCCCAAAAGTTCATCACCTTTGTAATCCCCCCCTCCTGCCCTTGCCCAACCCACCATCCCAAAGTGACAACTAATCTGCTTTTTTTTTTTTTTAAAGATTTTATTTATTTATTTTCCCCCCCAAAGCCCCAGTAGATAGTTGTATGTCATAGCTGCACATCCCTCTAGTTGCTGTATGTGGGACGCGGCCTCAGCATGGCCAGAGAAGCGGTGCGTCAGTGCGCGCCCGGGAGCCGAAACCCGGGCCGCCAGCAGCGGAGCGTGCGCACTTAACCGCCAAGCCACGGGGCCGGCCCAACTAATCTGCTTTCTGTTTACCATAGATTAGTTTTTATTTTGTAGAGTTTCATATAAATGGAATCATATGGTATTTACTCTTCTTTTGTCAGTTTCTTTCACTCAGCATGATCATTTTTTTTGTTGTTGTTGTGAGGAAGATCAGCCCTGAGCTAACATCCATGCCAATCCTCCTCTTTTTGCTGAGGGAGACTGGCCCTGAGCTAACATCCATTGCCAAGCCTCCTCCTTTTTTCCCTTTTTCTCCTCAAAGCCCCAGTAGATAGTTGCACATCCCTCTAGTTGCTGTATGTGGGACGCGGCCTCAGCATGGCTGGACAAGCGGTGCGTCGGTGCGTGCCCGGATCCGAACCCTGGCCGCGAGTAGCAGAGCACACGCACTTGACTGCTAAGCCACAGGGCCAGCCCCAGCATGATCATTTTGAGATTCATCCATGTCATTGTGTGTCACTAGTTTATTCCTTTTTATTGCTTAGTAGTATTCTATTGTTCCACAATTTGTTTATCCATTTATCTGCTGGTGGACATTTGGATTATTTTCAGTATTAGACTATTACATGTAAAGCTGTTATGAACACCAGTGTACAAGAATATTTTGGACATATATTTCCTTTTCTCTTGGGTAAATTCCTAGGAGTGGAATGGTTGGATTATATGGCTAAATGTATATTTAACTTTTTAAGAATTGTTTGTATTGGTTTTCTATGTTGCACAAAAAATTATCACAAACTTAGCAACTTCAAACAACACACATTTAATATCTCACATATTTGTGGGTCAGAAGTCCAGGAATGGCTTAGCTAGTCCTCTACTTAGGATCTCACAAGGCTATGATCAAGGTGTTGGCCAGGGCTGGGTTCTCATGTAGAGGCTCAACTAGGAAAGGATCCACTTCCCCTTTTGTGTGTTTTTAGAACCATCCAGTTTCTTGTAGCTGTAGTAGTCATGGCAGCTTTCTTCAAAGCCAGCAAGAAAGACTGAGAGCTAGTCTGCTAGCAAGATAGAAGCTTATATAACATAACGTAATCATGGAAATGACATTCCATCACTTTTACCATCATCTATTGGTCTGAAGCAAGTCACAAATCCTGCTCACATTCAAAGGCAGGGGATTACACAAAGGCGTGAACACCAAGAGGTGAGAATCATGGTGGGGGCCACCTTACAGTTTTTCCACTACAGTCCTCCCACTGGCCCCCGATGCTTCATGTGCTCCCACATGCAAAATATGTTCAGCTCCCTTCCAAGGTTTCTAAGAGACTCATCCTATTATAGCATCAGCTCAGAAGTCCAAAATCTTATCATCTAAATCAGGTCCTGGTATGAATGAAGTTCCTGGATGTAATACATTAAGTAAAGTTACTGGGGCATAAATCCTTTCCATCTATAGACCTGTGAAACTAAAGGTTATATACATAGGTATATAAATATCTAACTATATAATCTAGCCATTCCGCTCCTAGAGACAAGTTATCTGACCCCAACATACCCAACATACAATAGTGGGCCAGGGAAAGGATAACAGTTATAGACCTTCCAGTTTAAAAGGTGGGGGGAATGGAAGGTAAGAAAGGGTCCATAGCAATTCTGAAACCCAGCTGGGAAAATATTGGAAGTTCCTTCATTAAGTTTCAAGGCCTGGAAATAATCCTCTCAACTCTCTGCTCCACCCTCTGGGCTCTTGGTTTTGCCCTCTGAATCATCCTTCCTTTGTCAGGAAAGGTAGCACATGTTTGTAGCTAAGTAGTTTTATCAGGCTGCTTCCTGCCAGTGAAATTTTGGGGGTCTGACAGCCTTCTTTCATTTAAAATCTTTTGCCATCTAGAGAGACTATGAATTTTCAAAATCATCAAGTCCTTGTTACTTTATGTTTAATAGTTTTTCCTTCAATTTATCACTGTCATCTCATGTTTTTTTATAAGCAACAAGAAAAAATGAGGCCTCGCCTTCAACACTTTGGAAATCTCCTTAGGTATATAACCAAGATCAGCACTTAAAAGTTGTGCTTTCCACATGACCACAGGAGACCACTTCACTAAGCTTTCTGCCACTAAATAACAAGCATCTCCCTTCTTCCACTTCCTAACAACATGTTCCTCATTTCCTTCTGAGCCCTCCCCTACAGCGTCCTCCAAATCCAGATCTCCAATAAGTCTGTTCAAGGCAATTTATGCCTTCTCTATCATGCTTCTCAAAATTCTTCCAGCCTCTATCAATGAATAATCGAAAATGAAATTAAGAAAATTCATTTATAATAGTCTTTTGGGATGTTCTAAAGCCCAGTTCCAATGTGTAGGGAGGGAGTTCCCCACACCAACAAGCAATTCTTGAGATACCAGCTGGGTGTCCTGCAATTCAACTCAATTCTGACACTACCTGAAGATAGCATCAGATTTCACAGATTGAGAGTTCAGTCCTATAAGACTACCCCCTACCCCTTCAGACACCAGTCACAAGCCCAGGATATTACTTGTGCTTCTGACCTACTGGCTACAGATTGGAGGTTCCCATGACTTCCTCCTTGGACTTCAGACACCAGTTGCAAGTCCAGGTTGTTACCTGTACTTCTGATTGACTGGCTATAAATTAGAGGTTTCCACAACCCCCTCCTCAGGTTCAATTAATTTGCTAGAGTGGCTCACAGAACTCAGAGAAACATATTACTTATAGATCACCAGTTTATTGAAAAGGATATAACTCAGGAACAGCCAGATGGAAGAGATGCATAGGGCAAGATATGGAGAAAAGGCATGGAACTTCCATGCCCTCTCCAGGCATGTCACTCTCTCCAGTCTCCACATGTTCACTAACCCAGAAGCTTTCTGAATCCCGTCCTTTTGGGTTTTTATGGAGGCTTCATTACATAGACATGATTGATTAAACCACTGGCCATTGGTGATTGAACTCCATCTCCAGCCCCTTTCCCCTCCCTGGAGGTGAGCAGGTGGGACTGAAAGTTCCAACCCTCTAATTACGTGGTTGCTTCCACTGGCAACCAGCCCCATCCTTAGGTGCTTTCCAAAAGTCACCTCATTAACATAACAAAAGACCTTTATCACTCTTAACACTTGGTAAGTTCCAAGAGTTTTGGGAGTTGTGAGCCAGGAACTATGGACAAAGACCAAATATACAGGCATACCTCGGAGTTATTGCAGGTTCACTTCCAGACCACTACAATAAAGCGAATATCGCAATAAAGTAAATATCGCAATAAAGCGAGTCATGAGTTTTTTAGTTTCCCACTGCGTATAAAAGTTATGTTTATACTAGACTGTAGTCTATTAAGTGTGCAATAGCATTATGTCTAAAAAACAGTGTACATACCTTAATTAAAAAATACTTTATTGCTAAAAAATGCTAACCATCATCTGAGCCTACAGCGAGTCGTAATCTTTTTGCTGGTGGAGGATCTTGTAAAAAACGCAATATCTCTGAAGCGCAATAAAGCGAAGAGCAGTAAAACGAAATATGCCTGTATATGAGAAATATACTTTGGTGATCTGAATGATCAAATATATATTTCTTATAAATCACAATATTGCAAATAGCATCAAAAAGAATAAAATACTTAGGAATAAACTTAACTAAGGAAGTGCAAAACTTGTACACTGAAAACTACAAAATGTTATTGAAAGGAATTAGAGAAGACCTAAAGAAATGGAAAGGCATCTTGTGTTTATGGATTGGAAGACTGAATATTGTTAGGATGGCAATACTCCCCCAGTAGATCTACAGGTTGAGTGCAATCCTTATCAAAATTCCAACTGCCTTTTTTGCAAAAATGGACAAGCTGATCCTGAAATTCATATGGAAATGCAAGGTACCCTGAATATCTAAAACAATATTGAAAAAGAACAAAGTTGGAGGATTCACTCTTCCTGATTTTAAAACTTAATACAGGGGCCAGCCCTGTGGTGTAGTGGTTAAGTTCGAGCCTTCAGCTTTGGCGGCCCAGGGTTTGCTGGTTCGGATCCAGGGCGCGGACCTACTCACCACTCATCAAGCCATGCTGAGGCGGCGTCCCACATAGAAGAGCTACAACTCTACAACTATGATATAAAACTATGTACTGTGGCTTTGGGGAGAAAAAAGAAAAAGAGGAAGATTGGCAACAGATGTTAGTGCAGGGCCAATATCCCTCAAAAAAAAAAAATTTATTGCAGAGCTACAGTAATCAAAACAGTGTGGTACTGGCATAAGGACAGACATATAGATCAATGGAGTAGAATCAAAAGTCCAGAAATAAACCCACACATCTATGGCCAATTGATTTTCAACTAGGGTACCAAGACCATTCAATGAGGGAAGAATAGTCACTTCAACAAAT